AACTCCCGTACAGCCTTCCGACACAGCTAACCCCTGTGCTTGTGGCTTGTTGTTTAAGGAGGTGTTTACTCTTCCCAGGGACCAAACCTCTTCCTGGGATTTTTTTTTCAGAGCTTTTCCCATTGTCCAGGAGGACCACTGTTCTTATTTATATATTTTCACCATTCTATGTGCACCTTGAGGTGCTATTTCATCTCTCGTGGAAGAGAATCTTGAGAGCTTAGAATTTTCTGACCTACTCTACCATCTTCGCAGAAATCTTCCTGAATTACGATCTTCAGTAAGATTTTATACCTTTTACCAAGCTGTTAATTCTCTTTTCATATCTTCCATAGCTCTTACTTCTTTTACCATCTTTTCTGTACTGCTTTCATTTTGTTTTTAAAATAATTTTTTCTTTTGCTTTTTAATTAAAAAAGAAAACTTTATTTTAGGAATTCTTGTTTGTATGTTGGTATAGTGTCCAATGTGTATTTTTCCTTGAGGCTTTGCTTATAAATGTTTTCAAGTCATTCTGTTCTTCTGTGTTTGTGTCTTGAGCCTCCCTATTACTTAGTAGCACTTTATCGTGAGGTTTGGTTTTTTGTTTGCTCGTTCTTCTGGACTCTTTCTTGACTTTGGACTTTATGTTAGTGTTGGGCTTTGCTCTTTCTTAGTGGAGCCATCTGGCCTGAGCTTCTGTCCTTTGCTTCCTTCCTAGCTTAGCGTGGAGGTCTGCAAATTTTCAGTCCCCTAAAAGTGGTGTGATCTGGGGAGAAGTCTGTTCATTGCCTTCCTGGTCTGAGCTCTAAGTTCCTGACCCAGGTTTGGGTCTTTTGGCTTGTGGGTGGTTTAGTATCAGTGGACTGCTGCTGGACTCAGTCACTGTTAGCTCACTCAGAGAGGGCTTCTGCAGGTTCTTCTGTGAACCAAAACTTAGTAATTGGCAACAGTGCTCCCAGATAGCACTCATTCCTGCACCCAACGCTTGTTCAGGGATCGCTTATAAATTTTTACCCCAGTCCTTCCTACCCTGATACTCTGTCTTAGCCTCTTTTCCCTCCCTATGTATGCTCCCCACCACTGTCTCTGTGTGAGTATTCCTGGCCAACCTCTATGCCTGGTGTCTGCAGCCTTCTCTGTAAAATGACTCATACTGATTTTTTCTTGGCTTTCCTGATCAGAATTCTGTCTTATGCATTTTATAGGCCATTGTGGAGGAGATATGCTCCTCAGGGTAGGGTCAGCTAGGTGGCGCAGTGGATAGAGCACTGGCTTGGAGTCAGAAGGACCTGAGTTCAAATGTGACCTCAGACATTAGACACTTACTAGCTGTGTGACCCTGGGCAAGTCACTTAACTCTGATTGCCTCGCCAAAAAAAAAAAGTTCCCTCTTTCATCGCCATCTTGATTCCACCTCTCCATTCTTTTTCATTCTGTGGAAGTGTTGTCCTTAATCCATCATAGAAACTAAACTCTCAAAATGAAGTTAGTATTGTGCTATGTTATTTTCAAAGAAAAAGTGGCCAAAAGAATGTCATGTACCTTAACACTTATGATTTAGATTGTGGTAGTGGCCATACTAATCTTGTTATAAGTCAGCCTGCTATCTCCACAAACCAGAAAGTGAAGGACCAGAGCAAAAGGGGTCTTCCCTAGTGATAGGATCACTATCCACTGTGCCATCTAACTGCCCCATTAATAATGATTATATTTTTAGTTTTATCTTCAGTTTCATTGGTGTTATTAACTGCCTTCCTTATTTCCTACCCCTATCCCTCATCAATAATTCATATGTTCCTATATATATGTATATATTTCATTTATTTATTTTTTGGTGAGGCAGTTGGGGTTAAGTGACTTGCCCAGGGTCACACAGCTAGTGAGTGTTACATGCCTGAGGCTAGACTTGAACTCAGGTCCTTCTGACTCCAGGGCCTGTTCTCTATCTACTGTGCCACCCAGCTGCCCTAGAATCATTATCTACTAGGATCCTTCCCCCATCACTTGGCTAGTTTTTTTCCCTACAAGAAGGGGATGCCTTCATTGAGCCTTGATTGGCTCAAGGGAGCCTGTGACTTGAGATGTTAATGTGAATTTCTAATTGCCTCGACTTGCAGAGGTTCCCAAACTTGTTTGGCCTACCACCCCCTTTAAAAAAATTATTCAGTGCCCCCCTGGAAATCTACTTTCTTTAACCCTTTAATGTTTTTTGTTTTTTGGAAATTTGTGTAATTTCAAACTACTACCACCCCTCTGTATTGTTCTAGCACCCCCAGGGGCTGTATCACCCACTTTGGGAACCTTTGGCCTAGAGCATTAAAAAAAACCATTCATGAAGATTTAGTGCGCCTCAAACTTATTCATGTCCCCCTGCTATATGAATCTATGCATGCTTCTTCTCAGACTGGTTTCAGTGGAGGTCTATGTCAACTTGAGCCACTGTCATATACTTGCTGAATATCTTTTCTATGCCACTTTTAAGTAAGCTTCTTATTTGTGAAATGTCAGATGGTCTGCAGGTAACTTATTTCTTTCCAGTCCTCATCTTGAACCACTGGACTGGCCTGAGTCAGACCTAGACCACAATATGCTTCTTTCTCTAATGACAATAATTTGTCTATACATGTATAAGCACATAAGTATCAAAATGGTTGGGTTCAGCTAGGTGGCACAGTGGCACTGTGTCTTAGAATCAGGAAGACCTGTCTTATGAGTTCAAATCTGACCTCAGACATTTTCTAGCTAGGAGACCCTGGGCAAGTCACTTAACCCTTTTTGCCTCAGTTTCCTCATCTGTAAAATGAGCCGGAGAAGCAAATGGCAAACAACTCCAGTATCTTTGCCAAGAAAACCCCAAATGGGGTCATGAAGAGTCAACTATGGCTGAAAAATAATGAACCACAAAATCAAACGGTTTATCATATGCCCAGAACAGATGGATGCAGATCCTGTTGAAGCAAAACATGTCACAACTCAAACTTTTAAAAATTGAAGCTAAAAGAGTCAACCTGTTGTAATGGGGACAGATCAAATATTTTGCGAGTCATTTATATTAGGAGAATAAATTATTTGGAGTGATTGATCGCTTTTATAGGAACTTCTAAGTACAAGCAGTCTTTGAGTTAGGAAAAACACAGAAATGTCCCATCTGTTACTTAAATTTTATTGCAAGAATATATTTTGTTGCTTTTGTGCTTAGTTCATTAGGTATTAAGCATCTCCTATGTATGTGTGACTGCGATAAGCTGCACGGGGGAATGAAAAAGGCATGCAAAATACTATTTTTGCTCTTCAGTAGATTGCAGTTTAATTGATTATGTGTTCATTTTCATTTTATTCAATAAGTATTTATTAAGCATTGACTGTGTAAGGCACTGGGGATATAAAAGCAAAAATGAAGCAGTTCCTGCATTCAAGGACCTTTACTTCTATTGGGAGAATACAGCATATACACTGATAAGTAAACATGAAGTAATTTGGGGGTAGGTGGGTGTGTGAGTGGATAAAAGTATAAACTCAGGGAATGAGGGATAGCCTTAGATAGCAAGTGGCAGTTGAACCAGGCTTTGAAAGGAGCAAGAAATTCCAACAGGTTGAAGTAAGGAGGAAGTTTATTGTAAGCAGGGAGGATGGATGTAGGAGAGGGATTGTCACGTATAGGGAATAGCAAATAGGCCTGTACCGGCCGCGCTGACCTTATGCCGGCTGTGCTGAACACTCCTTCTATAAGGAGCAGGCTGCCAGAGTCATACTCACTCACCAGTCTTCGGTCCTCAACCGGATAAACACACAGAGATGAGCCATCAGGAGGCGCCCACACCAGAGCTTTATTCAGAGGCCATCACAGCAAGCCATCACAGGAAGGCCAGAGCAACAGAGCAGGAGCAAAGAGAGCGCTCCCGACCACGACCGTTCCTCAGAACCTACTAAGCCCCTCCTCCTCAGCCCGCCTATTAGCCAATGATTGTAGGGTCAGATACCGGAAGGGGCTGTTTGAGTTTAGCGCACCAAGGGAGAGGGGGTGACAGAGGAGGCTAGGACCGGATACAGGAAGGAGGCGTCTGGGATTAGTGCATAGATAGAGTACGTGACCTAGGAAGTCAGGTAGATACCAGGAGGAGGCGTCTGGGGTCAGTGCTACACAAAGGGACCCAGGAAGTCAGGAAGGTCACAGGAAGGAGGCGTCTGGGGTTGACGTTGCATATAGGGAGGGGGCTAAGCAAAGGGAACTCGTCCTCTGCCGTCCCACTCCCACGTGGCACCACCCCTTGCCTCAGGAGCACAAGCTCCGGCTATTTCCTTGCACCCAGCTTATCTCACATAGCACTGCCCACTGCCTCAGGGCTTCTTCGTACCCAGCCCATCCCAGTTCACCACAACTCCGCCTACCACAGCCCCTGCCTTGACTTCCAAATACCCAGATTCTACCCCAATTTTGCCACAACGCCCATCTGGCAGCTGCCAACATCAGACAGTCCCTCACATAGGCCCATTTGGCTTGAATGCTAATTACATGAAGGGGGTAGTAATATGAAAGTATTCTAGCAACATGAACTCCAGCCAGATTGGGAAGGACTTTAAATTCCAAGCAGAGGAATTTGTATTTTATCCTAAAGACAGAAGGGAATAAATTGAGTTTTATGCATTATAGGATGGGAAACCAGAAAGCTTATAATCAATCAACTAACTCAGCTTATTGGACTTTATAATGACATTGCTAATTTTAAAATTTTATTGTGAAGGAATAAATAACATTGAGATGTTAATGTTGCAAAAAGCTTTTTTACTTCTATTTTACTGATCTTGCTGTTCTTTTGTTTTCCCTTTCCCAAATATATATGGATTCTTTTGTTAATTTGAGAATCTAATTTCTTAATTATTTTAGAAACTGTAATTGTTTTAAGTAGGGTGATGGTATGGTGTTGATTGTAATTAGAAACATTTTCTCTTCTTTGTCATAAAAAGGTATCAGTGAATAATATTTAATGTTTTAAAACTTTTTCCCTGCTAATTTATAGATGTATCTACAAGAAGACAACGAAAACAGATGGAATTAAGTAAACATAACTTTGATGAATTAAAACAACAAAATTTTAATCTAACCACTACAAATGAGATCCTTGCCCATGAGCTTGAAGAAATTAAACAGGAAATGAAGGAATTATATTCAAAACTTAAGGAAATGGAAAAAGATAATGGAAGTGTGAAAGAGACTGAACAGAGTCCTCAAAGGAAAGGTATGGGAGAACTGTGTGAAGATTTTCAAAGGGCTGTTTTTAAGGACCAAAAAAACCTTAAATATCAATTATCTTTTTTTACATAGACAAATTCAAGATTTTTGTTGCTTCTGTAGTTCAGTCATTCAACAGGAGTTTTCTGTGAATGATAGGAATATGGCTATACTAGGCCCTGAAGGGATACCAAAGAAACATGATCATCCTTGCCCTTGAAGAGCTAAAATGTGAATACTTTACCTTATTCAATTTTATTTTATGGGTTAATTTTTACCTCTTTCATACTAGAAGTACCTTAGCATAAGTTATTATGATTCTTTGAAAATTTGTAGTATTTTTGGTCTAGTTTTTCATTGCTTTTTAGATACTTATTCCCTAATTACAAGTCCCAGAACTCCTGTTAAAAGCTCAGTGTAAGGCTATTTGCTTTAGTGCTGCATAATTATGTATTGAATTACTGAAATACTGAAAGGATCTTGCTAGTAAACAATTTAATAGAATTGCAGCATTTAACTTTTTTATCTTTGTATTTCTACTAGACTGCTATATGATATGTATTTAATAAACGTACTATATATTGAATGAATGATGAGTGATTGAATTAAATGGAATTTTCTACCTGGGTGGCCCATAGGCATCTCAAACTGAAGTGTCTAAAACAGAACTTATCATCCCATTAACTCATTTCACAAAATTCTTCACTCTCTCAGATTTTCCTCTTTCAGTTGAGGGAACCACCATCCTTCCAGCCACTAAGCTTAGCAAACTCACTCTTATTTACTATCTTTTCCCTTCCTCCCCCCATCCATTTAGTTGCCAGGTCTTGACAATTCTACAACATTAACATCCCTCTCATCTGTGTCTTCTTCATTTCAGTGGTCACTGCTGTTGGTCTTCATCATCTCTGGCCTAAATTATTGCAGTAACGTTCTTATTGGTTCCTGCTTCCATTCTTTCCCCCTTCTAATACACTATTTCCACAGCTGCCAAAATAATATTTGTAAAGCACACATCTTACTAGGTCATTTCTTTGCTTAAGAATCTACATTAGCTCTCTATTGCTGTTAGTTTAAAATATAAATTCCTCAGCTTGCATTTAAATCCCTCCACAGCCTTACACCAGTGTACCTTTCTGTCATTATTTCATATTATGACCCTTCATTAATTTTTCATTCCAGCCAGACTGACCACTTTGTTGTTTTTCAGATTTACCCTACCATCTCCTACCTTTTTGCCTTTGTATAGGCTGTCTTACATACCTGGCATGTACATCTCCCTTGTCCTCTGTCTCTTAGATTCCTTAGCTTTCTTTAATTCTCCAATCATGTGTTACATTCTGCAGGAAGCCCTTTGTGCTCTCTCCATCCTTAACTGATGTTGCACTTATCTGTTTAAGCAAATGATATGTTTTAACTCTATAGGATCTTGCCTCTTTTTGTATTTTCATTACTTAGCACTGTGCCTGGCACTAGTAGGTGCTTACTAAATGTTCATTAATTGAATGAATAGAATGTAAATTACTTAGAGGGCAGCAATTATTTTTCTTTTTGTCTTTTGTACCTAGTGCCAAGCATGGTGCTTTGATCTTAATAGGGGCTTTATAAATAACTGCTGAATGGGCAAAGATCACTACATGATTAAGATTGACTCCCACCCCACCCTGCCTCAGGCCGCAGTATAGTGTTATGTCTACAAAGCTTAACTAAGGTATATAATGTGAGCTGCAGGGCAGAAACTTAAGCATCCTAATAAATTTTTTTAATAATAATGAACAACTTTCTTTACAATTTCTGTTATCCGTTGAGGATACAGTAAACATTTAAATGAGGAAGGTGCCTATTCATTAATCTAAAAATTTATTGTTAATGAAACTAGTGTCTTCTGGTTTTAAAACCATTCAGTATTTGAACCAAGAGAGTTTTTCTTTTGAGGACTTTACTGTTGCACAATCTATCATTGAGTTATACTTTGAATTATAAACAATTGTGGCAATTCTCAAACAGTTGTAGGACTATTGATACAACAGGAAGCTAAAAGTTAGGAAGACTCATCTTCCTGAGTTCAAATCTAGCCTTAGACATTTACTAGTTGCGTGACCCTGGGCAAGTCACTTAACCCTGTTTGTCTCAGTTCTCACTTGTAAAATGAGCTGGAGAAGAAAATGGCAAACCACTCCAGTATCTTTGCCAAGTAAACCCCAAATGGAGTCACAAAGAGTTGGCCATGAATGAAAAATGAGTGAACAGCAACAATTGATGCACAAAATTTAAGTGTTTAGCCAAGTGAAATAGAAAAATGAATTGTCAGAGTGAATCTCACAAAAATATATCCTACTAAAATGTTTAGGTGTCAGAGATTTAGGAGAAGATATACTTTATTTGTACAGCATGTACAAGGAAACTAAGGCTCAAAAAAAAAAACTGGTATATTTTATTTGATTTGGATTCAAAGCTGTTCTTTTAGATAAAAATGAAAAAGCCATTAGTTATAAACCTGAAAAACTGAACTAGTGCTTTGCAGGCCATTGTAAAATGTACTTTTCTATATAGCAGTTTATTTTCCTATAGAACTTTTTGTTGAGTAGCTCGCCAAGTATTCCTGTTAATGTTTTACAAAATAGTTAATTTGTTTTTCATATTTAGATAGATATCTAAAAACCTAATGTTAACTGCACAGATGACAAAATAGTAGTACTTTCTTTTCCTCTAGTGCTTTCTTTTCCTCTGAATTTGAAACTGTGTAGAAATGTTTTCCCTATGCTTTCAATACTCCATTTAAGAAATATCACTGTATTGTAAAAAGTAGAGGTAGTTGATATGTATTTAATATCGTTTAGTTCATAATGGGGTATAACTTTTTTTTTCTAAGAAAACTTTGCTAAAACACTTTGTGACTTTTCACATGCACAGACATTGCCTCATTTAGCTCTATATAGCATGAGGAAAAGAAGAGAATTTTGGTGTTTTGAACATTTTGGACTGATTTGAGCCTGTTTCCTATAGCATTGTATACTTTATGTATAATGTCTTTTTTTTTTTTTAAATAGTTAATGTGGCTGAATTTCTTTCTCTAAGACAACAAGCCCAGGAGCTGGTGGATGAAAATGATGACTTGAAAATGATTGTCTATCGTTTGAATGTAGAGCTAAGTCGATACCAAACTAAATTCAGGCAATTATCCAAAGAAGAGGTAATGTTTTTTATTAAGAAAAATACCAGTCCATATATATTTTTATCACTCCTACTTGAACCATAAGCAATTTTTACTATTCATTTTTTTTTTTGATACAAGAAGATGACAAGTAATTACTAGGAATACCTACTAGAACATTTAAATCACTAATTCTAGGGCAAGTATTAATACACACATTACTTAATTAAAATTAAAATTATCTTTCTCTTACTTCCCTTAAGCCTGTGGTTGTTGAATTAGAATTTGTTTAGAAGTCTTTTGTATAAGTACGATATTTCCCAAAATACATTAAATTTAATCTTTTCATTTTTGTTAGAGAATTAGTTTTATTTAGGACTATAAAATCTAATTTCCTTATTTTTAAAATGATGATTCTCACATGCATGATTTCTTCAGAATAGTAACTCCTCATTATAAAGTAATATATAATATTATTGGGGAATTGAAAAAGGATAGGAGTGGGAACTGAACCTGTGACTTTACTGGTATAGAGATGTCTGAGAATGTTACTATATTGTTGTTTATCCTTTGTTCTTGATGAGGACCAGTAACGTCATGAGTATGATGTTTTGACTTGCAAGTGATTGGATTTGAGTAAGACAAAGCTGGGCAAAGTCATCATCCTCACTCTCACTTCTAGAGTCATTGGAGTCCAGTGGCAGGACAGAGGTCAACTTGACTGGTGATGGCCTAGGATGCAGTGGGTGACCATGGCCTTTCTTTTTTCTTTTTTTTTTTAGTAGGCTATGCATGTATGATCATATTAAACATATTTCCACATTAGTCATGTTGTGAATCAGAACAAAAAGGAAAAACAATGAGAAAGAAAAAACAAAAAAACAACAAAAAAAGAGAGAAAATAGTATCCTTCGACCTGTATTCAGACACCATAGTTCTTTCTCTAGATGTGGATAGTATTTTCCATCATGAGTCATTTGAAATTGTCTTAGATCATTGCATTGCTCAGAAAAGCTAAGTCTAACAAAGTCGGTCATTGCGCAGTGTTGCTGTGCTATGTACAGTGTTCTCTTGGTTCTGCTCACTTCACTCAGCATCAGTTCATGCAAGTCTTTCCAGGTTTTTCTGAAGTCCAGACCATGACCTTTCTAAATTAAAGTCTTCCCCAGATCTCAGTTTGTTTGAGGTCACACCCATTCAGTGACTAAGGGCTAGGTAATGTTGTTATAGGAACCATCTAGTCCAATACCATCTAGTCCAACCCCTTCATTTTACATATAGGGAAACAGAGGCTCAAGATCCTAAGTGACTTACCCAAGGTCATACAGACTTTCTAAATCTAGAGCTGGATGGGACCTCAGTAGTCATCTTGTCAAGCCTTTTGTTTTTTAGATGAGGAAACTGAGGCTTGGGGAGGCTAAGTGATTTGCCTAAGATTACACGGAAAGTAAGCATCAGAGGTAAGAGGTAAGCAGAGATCCTCTGACTTTAGAGTCACCATAGTACCTTTTCATTCTTTTCTTGTACTTTAGTTCACAATGCTCTCACTGCCTGGAATATCTTACCTCAACCCTTTCTTTTCTTTGTGCACATTCCACTGATCCTCTACAGTCCAGCTCAAGTCCCACTGTGAAGCCTTTCTGACTACCTAGCCCTCCTCTAATATAGTCAGCAAGCTACTCAACACTTACTGTATGCAGACCACTTTGTTGGATATTGTGGACGAGACAAAATTTGGTAAAGACTCTATCCCTTTCATCATAAAACTTCCAGTCTCATGGAATGATAAGACACCAATAGAGAGATAATTTTTTTAATTTAAAGTTTTTTTTAATTAACAAGCATTTAATTTTTTCTCTCTCACTTCTCTTCCTTAATAAAAAAAGGAAAATGAAAACAAAACCCTTGTTACAGTATGCATAGTCAAGGAAAACAAGTTTCCACATTGGCAGTGTTACAAATATGTATGTCTGTGCAGTGGATAGAGCACTGGCTCTAGATTTTATTTAGTTTGTTTTATTTATTTATTATTTAGTTTATTTTTTCCTTCTCTAAGCCTTAAAAATTCCTGCTATTGTGGTAAAGACTCACCATTTGGTGGGGAGGGAACCAAGTGGGAAAACTAAAAAGAAGTCTGGCATAAATTAGGTTAGACAATTAACATATCACATACCATGATAAGCTCCAAATAGATAGATATGTGACTTAGATATAAATCAGAAGGATAAAGAAGAAATTACCTTTCAGATCTATGGAAAGAGAAAAGAATAGAGGATCATATAAGATAAAATGGGGGCAGCTAGGTAGTGCAATGGATAGAGCACTGGCCCTGGAAGCAGGAGGACCTGAGTTTAAATTTGGCCTCACACACTTAACATTTACTAGCTATGTGACCTTGAGCATGTCACTTAACTTTGATTGCCTTGCAAAAAACTTTATTTTATTGCTTAGTAGCAAATAGCCTTGACAACCGTGACACTACTGTCCAAAGTTTTTTTGTGGGTTTGTGTCGGTTTGTTTTATGGCCTGCAATTGTACTGAGTACAGATTGTACTGTTTTGATGAGTTGTTTTTTTTTAAGTTGACTCTGTAGGGTTTTTCAATTATATCATTTGCAAGAAATGATCGTTTTGTTTCCTTTTTACCTGTACTTATTCCTTCAATTTCTTTTTCTTATTTTATTGTTATAGCTAATATTTCTAGTACAATATTAAATAGTAAAAGTGATAATGGACATCCTTGCTTTACCCCTGATCTAATTTGAAATACTTCTAATAGAAGCCTTTTTTTTTTTTTAAGATAGCTCTCTTTTATAGATAATGACTGTTTTTGGTTTTAGATAGATGCTATATATCATTTTAAGGAAAATTTCATTTATTCCTATGTTTTCTATATTTTTTCACCTTATTAGCAATGGGTGTTGTATTCTGTCAAACACTTTTCCTCCATCTATTGAGATAATCATATGATTTTTGTTGTTTTTGTTATTAATGTGGTCAATTACACTTTGACTTTTCCCAATATTGAGCTAGTCCTTAATTCCTTGTATAGATGCAGCCTAGTCATAGTGTATGATTTTTGTGGTACACTGCCGTAATTTCCTTGCTATTATTTTACTTAAAATTTTTTAATCAGTATTCATCAGGGAGATTAGTTTATAGTCTTCTTTCTCTTTACTGACTCTCCCTGGTTTAGGTATCAAGAACGTATTTGTGTCATAGAAAGAATTTGATAGGATTCCTTATTATTTTTTCAAACAGTACATGGAATATTAGAATTAATTATTATTTAAATATGTGGTAGAATTTGCTGGTAAATACATCTGTAACTGGGGTTTTTTCTTCAGTAATTCATTATGGCTTGTTTCATTACTTTTTCTAAAATGGGTTATTTAAGTATTGTATTTCCTGTTCTGTAAATATGAGCAACTGATATTTTTGCAAGTGTTAATCCACTTCATTTATGTTGTCAATTTTATTGGCATATAGTTGGGAGAAATAGCTCCTTATAATTGTTTTTATTTCACTTTCATTGGTTGTGGAATCACCATTTATATTTTTCAGACTGGCTATTTGTTTTTCTTCTTTTTTAAAAAATAAAGTTAGCCAGTGACATGCGTTTAAAAAAAAACTTCTTTTATTTATTAGTTCAATAGTTTTTTTACCTTGAATTTTATTAAACTCTCCTTTGATTTTCAGTATTTCTGTTTTGGTGTTTAATTTGGTGTTTTTAACTTGTTCATTTTCTAGTGGTTTTTTTTTAATTGCATACCCAATATATTGATGTGCTCTTTCTCTCTTTTTTTTGAAGTAAGTATTTAGAGATAAAAATTTTCCCCTTGATATTGCTTTGGTTGCATCCCAGAAATTTTGGTATGTTGTTTCATTGTTGTCATTATCTTTAATGAAGTTATTTATATATTTCTATCTTTTGTACTTTGATCCACCCATTTTTTAGGATTAAGTTATTTGTTTCCAATTAATTTTTAATCTTTGCTTCAAAGGCTTTTTATCGAATAATTTTTCTTGCATTTTTTTGGTCAGAAAAAGTTGCATTTAGTATTTCTGCTTTTTTACATTTGTTTGTGAGGTTTCTGTGCATATTTTTATGAAAGTGTCATGTATAGCACTCTATTCCCATTTACTGTTTCCCAGTAGCCTTTTCTATGTCATTTGTGAATATATGTTAAGAATTGCTATTGTCTGTGGTTCTTTTTACCAAAATGTAGTTTTCCTCTTTATCTCTTCTAATTAAGTTTTGTTTTGCTTTTGCTTTGTGTGAGGTCACGATTGTTTCTCCTTCCTTTTTTTTTTTAACTTCAACTGAAGCTTAATAGATTTGGCTTCAGCCCCTTATTTTAACTCTATGTCTATCTTTTTGTTTCAAGCATCTTTCTTATGAATAACACATTGTCGTATTCTGGTTTCTAATCCATTCTTTGATCTTATTCTTTTTGTGAGTGAGTTCATTCCATTCCTATTCATGGTTAGGATAGCTAACTGTGAATTTCCTTCCATCTTGTTCTCTTAGCCTTTTTCTCCTCTTTTTTTCTCTATCTCCTCCTTAAGAGTCTGTTTTTGTTTTTTGGGGACTGGGCTGGGCCCAGATCTCTGCCCTGGATATCCTTTGTGAAGAGAGGAGAGGCGAGGCTGCAGCAATCATCCTTCCATTTGGTACAGCAGTCTTCCCCCTCCAACTTAATGGCTTTGAGAGCCATGCATAGCATATCTTTTGCCCTTTCTGATCCTCCCCTTCCCCCCCCCCTTTTTTTTTCAAGTGTAGGAAAAATCAGCTTCTGCTGCTCCTCAAGGGGGAAGGGACAGGATGGAGGTTTGGGCAAAGGTCCTGCTGTGAGGGATCCTTAGAGTAGACTGAATGACAATCCTACAATTGCAAGCTCTCAGTATTAAAGTTCTCTAGTGTCAGTTGTTGGGATTTTCCCCTTATTTAAGGGGTTTTCTCTTCTTGTTGATTCAGTTACAATTTACTCCATCTGGCATATAATTATTTTCTTTGGAGTTTTATACTAGAGAATTTTG